ATAGACGCGGATTTTTAAAAAATATTTTTTGAGGACTTTTCATAAACGTAGATTTTTAAAAATATTTTTTGAGGATTGATGAAAATAAACGTGGATTTTTAAAAATATTTTTTCGAGTAGTTTTCATAGACGTGGATATTTTAAAAATATTTTTTCGATTAGTTTTCACAGACGTGCATTTCTTAAAAATATTTTTTCGAGTAGTTTTCATAGACGTGGATTGTTTAAAAATATTTTTTCGAGTAGTTTTCACAGACGTGGATTTTTTAAAAATATTTTTTCGAGTAGTTTTCATAGACGTGGATTTTTTTAAAAATATTTTTTCGAGTAGTTTTCATAGACGTGGATTTTTTAAAAATATTTTTTGGGGTCCTTTCATAGACGTGGATTTTTTAAAAATATTTTTGGGGTCCTTTCATAGACGTGGATTTTTCTTAAAAATATTTTTTAAGGTCCCTTCATAAACGTTTTTTTTTTTTTAATAATATTTGAGGACTATATGGATTTATTAAAAATCTTTTTGAGAAGTTTTCATAGACCTGGATTTTTTAAAAATACATTTAGAGTACTTTTTACAGACTTGTATTTTTGTAAAAATAATTTTTGAGGTCCTTTCATAGACGTGGATTTTTTTTAAAAATATTTTTTAAGGTCCCTTCATAAACTTTTTTTTTTTAATATTTTTTAAATACTTATTCTGAACGTGGATTTTATAAATATTTTTTAAAGACTTATTCTGAACGTGGATTTTATAAATATTTTTTCAGGACCCTTCATAAACGTGGATTTTTTTAAAAATATTTGTTCAAAGACTTCAAATGAACGTGGATTTTTTTTAAATATTTTTTAAGGACTTATTCTGAATGTGGATTTTATAAATATTTTTTCAGGTCCCTATATAAACGTGGATTTTTTTATAACTATTTTTTAGGTCCCTATATAAACGTGAATTTTTTTTAAAATATTTTTTCAAAGACTTCGAATGAACGTTGATTTTTTCAAATATTTTTTTGAGTTTTCATATTTTTTCAATGACTTCAAATGAACGTGGATTTTTTAAAAATATTTTTTGATGACCTTCCATAAACGTGGAATTTTTTAAAAATATTTTTTGGGGTCCTTTCATAAACGTGGATTTTTTAAAAATATTTTTTCAAAGACTTCAAATGAACGTGGATTTTTTAAAAATATTTTTTCAACGACTTCACATGAACGTGGATTTTTAAAAGTATTTTTTCAAAGACCCATTTTTAATTCCCCTTGAGCCACTGTCATCACATCTCCAATCAATTTGTGTGCGTCATCAACGAATCATCAACAAATAAGTATTGCCTTATTTAATCCACTTAACTTTGTTGCAACCAACAAACAAATTTAAATGGGCAACAATAACAACAAATCTAATTCTACAACAACAAATTAGTGTCAGTTGCTGAAAAGAAAATGAACTTTCAAGTGCAACCGGTCGGTCGGATTGCTTGTATTTGATGGATGTCTTTGGTTAGGGGGCGGGGTTAGCTGCCACAAAGGATGGAAGATGGATATCAGGCACAACCTGTTGAAGGAAATCCCAACAGTTTGTGGTGGCCAAACAGAGGGGTGGGGGAGAAGAGGTTTCGGTAATGCAACAATGACATTTTTAAATAATGAGATTTCAGGTAATGGGAAGTGGGGGTAGCATTGGTTTGAGGTAGAGGGTTGAAAGGTGTTGTTGCTGTTAGACAAGGGTGTGAAATACGACGACGGCAGCACGCCATGACGAAATCTTTGTTTTGAAAACATTTATCTTTTTCCTCTTTAGCAACACTTTGCCCGCACCGCAAGCGGTATTGCGGAAGGTTGGTGGCATGCTAGTTTTGTCTATGTGTGTGCGTGTGCAGGTTGGGTAATTGAGGTGTTACATTTGCGTTGAACAGCAAACAAACAGAAAAAAAGGGGTGAAGAAAGAAAAGTGTTAAGAAAATACCATGGAAATCTGACAAAATGCTAATTAAGGCAATAATAAATAACAATAGCAGCAACAACAACAAGAAAACAGCAACCTATTCACGTGTTGCTGGATTGTGGTAGGAAAATGCAAAGGCGCAAAACTAGGTGTCGAGTTGGCTAAGGAGAATATCTAGGAAATTTAAAATTCAGATCTACAATTTTTAAAAATTAAAATCTATTTTTAATTTTGTTTTAATAAATTTCCTTAAATGTTTTATTTAATCCACGTTGAGGGATTTTTGAAGAAAATATATATTTTTTAAAACTATGTTGAGGGATGTTTCAAAAAAAAAATATTTTTAAAAAAATCCACGTCTATGAAAGCTATTCGAAAAAAATATTTTTAAAAAAATTCAAGTCTACGAAAACTACTCGAAAAAATATTTTAAAAAAATTCTCGTTGATTAAGGTCTCTAGAAAAAATATTTTTAAAAAATCCACGCTAATGGAAGTCTCGAGAAAAATTATTTTTAAAAATATCAGGTTGATAGAGGTCTCAAGAAAAAATATTTTTAAAAAATCCACGCTAATGGAAGTCTCGAGAAAAATTATTTTTAAAAATATCAGGTTGATGGAGGTCTCAAGAAAAAAATATTTTTAAAAAATCGACGATAAAGGAAGTCTCTAGAAAAAATTATTTTTATAAAAATCTACTTTGATGGAAGCTTCGAGAAAAATTATTTTTAAAAAATCCACGTTAATGGAGGTATTTGGAAAAACTATTTTTAAAAAATCCACGTTGGTGGGGGTCTCAAAAAATATTTTTAAAAAAATCCACATTGATGGAAGTCTCGAGAAAAATTATTTTAAAAAAATCCCCGTTGATGGAGATCTCTGGAAGAAATATTTTTTAAAAACAGGTTATCAGAAGTTGCAGAAAAAAATATTTAAAAAAATCCACGTTAATGGAAGTCTTGAGAAAAAATATTTTTAAAAAATCCACGATGATGGAAATCTTAAGAAAAAATATTTTTAAAAAATCCATGTTAATGGAGGTCTTAGGAACAAATATTTTTAAGAAATCCACGTCTATGAAGACTACTCGAAAAAAATATTTTTCAAACATCCACGTTGATGGAAGTCTCTGGAAAAAATATTTAAAAAAAATCCACGTCTATGAAAACTACTCGAAAAAATATTTTTTAAAAAATCCACGTCTATGAAAACTTCGCGAAAAAATATTTTTAAAAAAATCCACGTAAATGGAGGTCTCACGAAAAAATATTTTTATAAAATCCACGTTGATGGAGGTCTATGAAAAAAGATATTTTTATAAAATCCACGTTGATGGAGGTCTATGAAAAAAAATATTTTTATAAAATCCACGTCTAAGAAAGCTACTCGAAAAAATATTTTTAAAAAAACCACGTCTATGAAAGCTATTCGAATTTTTTTTAAATTTAAAAAAACCCCACGTTGATGGAAGTCTCAAGAAAATTGTTTAAAAAAAAATACACGTCTCTAGAAGTTATAGGAAAAATATTTTTAAAAAATCCACGTTGATAAAAGTCTCAAAAAAAATTTTTTTTTAAATCCACGTTAATGGAAGTCTCAAGAAAAAATATTTTAAAAAAAGTCTCAAGATGGAAGTCTCAAGAAAAAATATTTTTAAAAAATCCACGTTGATAGAAGTCTCTGGAAAAAATATTTTTAAAAAATTGACGTTGATGAAGGTCTCTGGAAAAAATATTTTTAAAAAATCCACGTTGCCGGAAGTTTCAGAAAAAATTATTTAAAAAATCCACGTTGCCGGAAGTTTCAGAAAAAATTATTTAAAAAATCCACGTTGATGGAGGTCTCTGAAAAAAATATTTTTAAAAAATCTACAATGACAGTAGTTGCAGAAAAAAATATTTAAAAAAATCCACGTTGCCGGAAGTTGCAGAAAAAATTATTTAAAAAAATCCACGTATATGAAAACTAGTCGAAAAAATATTTTTAAAAAATCTACGATAACGGTAGTTGCAGGAAAAATTATTTTTAAAAAATCCACGTCTATGAAAGCTACTCGAAAAAAATATTTTTAAAAAATCCACGTCAATGAAAGCTACTCGAAAAAAATATTTTTAAAAAATGCACGTCTATGAAAGCTACTCGAAAAAAATATTTTTAAAAAATCCACGTCTATGAAAGCTACTCGAAAAAAATATTTTTAAAAAATCCACATTGATGGAAGTTTCACGAAAAAATTATTTCTAAAAAATCCACGTCTGTGAAAGCTATTCGAGAAAATATTTTTAAAAAATCCACGTCTATTAAGAGTACTCGAAAAAATATTTTTAAAAAAATCCACGTTAATGGAAAAATTATTTTTAAAAAATCCACGTTTATAGAAGTCTCAGGAAAAAATATTTCTAAAAAACCTCTGAGGAGGTCTCAAAAAAATATTTTTCAAAACCCACGTTGACGGAAGTCTTAAGAAAAAATATTTTTAAAAAATCCACGTTTATGGAGGTCTCTGGAAAAATAATTTTTAAAAAATCCACGCTGATGGAGGTCTCCGAAAAAAATATTTATAAGAAATCCACGTTGATGGAGGTCTCTGGAAAAACTATTTTTAAAAAATCCACGTTGATGGAAGTCTCAACAAAAAATATTTTTAAAAAATCCACGCTGGAGGTCTCTGAAAAAAATATTTATAAAAAATCCACGTTGATGGAGGTCTCTGGAAAAAATATTTTTAAAAAATCCCAGTTGATGGAGGTCTCTGGAAAAAATATTTTCAAAAAATCCACGTTGAAGAAAGTATGGAGAAAAAATATTTTTAAAAAATCCACGTTGATAGAAGTCTCTGGAAAAAACATTTTTAAAATATTTAAAAAAAAATTATTTTTATAAAAATAATATTTTTTTATTTCATTTTTCATAATTTTTTTTTTTTAATTTTATTTTTGTTATCTTTTATTTTTTAATTTGGCAATGTTTTACATTTTTTTCTCGGAATTGTTTTTTAAAAATTTAATTTTTCTAAAATTTTAAGTAGAGTGAAATTGAAAGGCAATTTTTTATATTTTCTTGAAAATCAAATTTAAATGTTTTACATTTTTTTGTTCTGAATTGTTTGCTGGGCTTTACTTAAAAACTAAAATTTAAAGGAAAAAAATAATTTTTAACTTAATCGTATCACTTGGATGCTGTTGCAGAATCCAGAGTTTAGCTGTTCTCCTTTGAGGAAGGGAAGGACGAAATGGAGGGAGTAGGTGGGAACGCTCTCTCACAGAGTCAAAAAACGCATTGCCTTGTCGAGAAACTTTTCTTCCGGCTGGCTCTCCGACTTCGACTTGGACGCATACTTCTTTTTGCCCTTCTTGGGATTTTTCACAAACTGCTGGTGTATGGCCTCGTTAATGACCCGATCATAGATTTCGGTCTCCTCAAATTGCTCGCCAATTGTGGTGGACGAAAGCATTTCAGTGGAGGGTGCGGCCGGCCTAGCGTATTGCTTCTTCATAATGAGAGCAATGAGCCGGGACTTGAGAGACTTATTTTTGGCATGGGACACCACCTTGGATCGCGGCCGTATCGGATCGATATTTTCATAGACATGCGAATCGGATGTTTGATCCAAGAATACGCCAGATTCCTCAGAATCCGATGAGGGTGAAGAGGGGGGTAGGTCGGAGCGTATGGAATTTGTGGTTATGTTGGAGTAGAGAGTTCCCGAACACTGGCCCACACTTGTCGCTCCACCATAGGTCTCATCGTAAATATAATCCGATTCACAGTTGCTGTAGAAGCTGCTGCCAACATCTCCCTCTTCTACAATGGAGGAATCCAAACAGGTCACCATGCGCTTGGTGTTGGATACATTGTGGGAGGGGGATTTTTTGGATTTCCTTCTCCTCTGACGTCTCTCGTGGCGGGCCTGTTCCAGACGTGATATGGTCTCTAGGCTATCGACGAAAATTTGCAGATCCCTTGGCGAGAAATCATCGGTACTGACTTCGTTTAATTCCAGCTCTTCGGGTATTGCCTGGAACTCCCTTTCAGGCTGAAGCTCTTTCTCTTCATCCTGTGGCTGTTGATGGTGCTTAGGCGGTGAAGAGGAGGTAATACTGTATTTGTTGGTTTCCACCGGATGGCGCATCACATGGATGTAGGCATAGTCGTAAATATCACTCATGGTTGCTGCTGTTTTACAAAATATCACAAATCAATGGCTGATGTTATCCTAAGGAGTAGTTGAAAGGAACTAATGCTCTTCTAAAAATTCCTGGCACATTTTATACCCTCAAAAAATGACACCCACGAATTATTCCTCCCCTCTCCCCAGGTAGTTGCAAAAATCTCTTGCAAAATATCTGTGTGTGTGTATGCGCCATATAACAATTAATAATTCCCCTAGCCCGACTGTGGCTCATCATTCCAAATAATGCTAATCCCCTACCTGTTCTCATCCCGTCCGCCTTCTGAGGAAATTTTCTAATTTGTCTACAGGTACCGAAGAGACGCTTTCACATAATTACAAGGTAAATCCCCCATCGAAGGATAATAATAATTTTGATTTTCCGGCGAATTTGAATATTATGAGGCCGGCATTATATTTGAATTCAAGGGAAAATAAATTTCGGCTGTGGAAAAAATTATGGAAAATGCATTGGAAATGGCACGTAGTCTACATATTGACATGCGGCAAAAATAGGGGCCTTCATGGTGGGGATTTTTTCACCAGAAGGGGGGAAGGACTCCCATCAAAGGGAATTTTGAAAATATTTTTTTCAGAAACTTCTAGCAGCTTGGATTTTTTAAAAATGTTTTATCTCGGAACATCCGTTAACGTGGATTTCTTAAAAATAATTTTTCTTGAGACTTCCATTAACGTGAATTTTTTAAAAATATTTTTTCCGGAGACCTCCAGCAACGCCGACTTTTTAAAAATATTTTTTCTGTAAATTCCAGCAACGTGGATTTTTCAAAAATAATTTTTCTCGAAACTTTTATCAACGTGGATTTTTAAAAAACAATTTTTCTCGAAACTTTTATCAACGTGGAATTTTTAAAAATAATTTTTCTAGAGACTTCTCTCGATGAGTTTTTTTTAAATATTTATCCAGTGACTTCCACTAACGTGGATTTTTTAAAAATAATTTTTCTTGAGATTTCTATCGACGTGGAATTTTAAAAAAATATTTTTTCCAGTAACTTCTAGCAATGCGAATTTTTTAAAAATAATTTTTCTTCAGATTTCCGTTAACGCGAACTTCTTAAAAACCATTTTTCTTGAAACTTCCCTTAAAACTTCATGAAACTTCCCTTTTTTAAAAATATTTTTCCCAACAACTTCCAGCAACGTAATTTTTTTAAAAATATTTTTTTGTGACTTCCATCAACGTGGATTTTTTTAAAAATAATTTTTCTAAAGACTTCCAGCAACGTGGATTTTTTAAAAATATTTTTCTCTCGACTTCCATCGACGTGAATTTTTTTAAAATATTTTTTTCTGGCTCACAACTTCATTTGGTTTGTTTTAAAAAATAGAAAAAAAAAATGGAACATATCCACTTAGAATTATCCTTAAATTCCCGTTGGCAAAAAATCTAGAAATTTGCACAGTCCAATTGGTGACCCAAATTAAAGGCATACGAGGTTACATTAACAGATAATGTTATTAACAGCTGTTAAAATCAATGCAATTTTTAACATTACATACTCTGAGATATGTTAACTATCAACCAACACAAAAAAGGATGAAAGGATTAAGTAATGCAATGCAGGAATTTCTGCTCAATTCAATAATAAAAAATTAAAAAAAAAAACAAAATACTGTTAAATAAATAAATATTTTGAACAGGAAGGAGGCATGGAAGCTAATAAGTTATTTTGGAAAAAATGGCCATTGAAATGCCCTTGAATAGTCAGAAAAACATAAAATTCCCAGAGGAACCATGATTGTTTAAACGTTTGTTGCTTTTTATAAAGCAAGGGGGATTTCTATATGAAAGAAAAACGGTAGGGGGTTACTTATAAAGGACGAAATGTAACTAGGGGTATCCTTTTTAATTCCTGGTAAAAATTTAAAATCTTCAATTTGTCCTAAATATTGGAAATTACAACTAAAAAAATCACATTTTTTTTCAAAAAAAAATTAGAAAATTTTAGTTTTTAAGGATTTTTAATTTATGAGGGGGTTTTGGATATAAGAAAAGCAGTGAGACGATAACTTTGTCCTTGATGGCAACGAAATGTCCTTGAAAGCATGCAGTGAAAATAAAAAAAATCTTAAAATTATTTAACTTGCTGCGAAAACTATAGACAAACATTCCTCTCTCTCCCTCTGATATAGCAGACCACGATATTTACCAATGCTTTGTAATTGATGACCAGTTTTGGAGGCAGAGGAAGACAGTGAGGTGTTAACTTATTATGGACAAAATGTTCCTTGAAGGGACCTCTTCAGATCCCTTGAAAAGTTAAAAATCTTAAAACTATCTTGCATATTGTAAATAAAGTCACATTTTTAGCAATAATAACAAAATCTATTTTTTATGGTTTTTAATTGATGTGAAGGATTTTGGCTAAGGGAAAGCAATGAAAAATGTAACTAGGAAGGTTCTATTTCTAACCAAGCAACAATAAAAAATTTAAAAATTATTTTGGTTAGCAAAAGCAAATTTTTTGGAAAGGAATTTTATTTAAAGGAATATTATGAAATTTTCAATTTTCACACATTTCTTAATTCCAGGGTGTTTTTTTAGCGAAAGAGAGAAGTTAGCTCCTTACCCCTGTTAGAGGAAATGTCCTTTAGAGGGTCCTCTTTAATTTCCCGAATAAATAAAAATTCTTTAAATAATTTTTCTTTCAAAAATTTATGTTTTTATATTGTCAGCGAAATCGTTTAAAAATATTTTCGTAGTTACTTTTCGATGTGAAGAAAAGGAGTGAGGGGTTACGTTTGTGAGGATGAAATTTACATAGGAAGGTCCTTTTTCTAAGCCAAGACATATGAAAAATCTTAAATTTGTTTTGTCATTAAAGAATAATTTTTTGCTGAAATAATATTTTGAGATAAATGAAAACTTTCAGTTTTCCCTTGGTTTCCTATATTCCTAGGAAGTTTTTAGAGGGAAGGAGAGGAGTTAGCCTCTTACCCCTGTTGGGAGAAGAGTTCCTTAGAGGGTCTTCTTTAGTTTCCAAAATAAATAAAAATTCTTAAAATAATTTTTTCTTAAAAAAAGTTTTTTATTTTTATAATTTCTGCAAAATCGATATATAATATATTTCTAATTTTAGGAGTTTTTTTTCGGTATGAAGCAAAGAAGTGAGTGGTTACGTTTATGTGGTCTACTTGTACCCAAAGAGGTCCTTTTTCTAATCCAGCAACAATGAAAAATCTTAAAATAATCTTGGGTTATAATAATATTTTTTTTGCAAAGGAATATTTTAAGACATTTTAAAACCTTCCAGTTTTCAAACATTCCTTAATTTAAGTTTTTTTTTAGCGAAAGAGAGGAGTTAGCTCCTTGGCCCTGTTGGAGGAAATGTTCCTTAGGGGGTCCTCTTTAATTTCTAAAATAAATAAAAATTTTTTAAAAAAAATTGTTTCTTCAAGGAAGGAATATTTTGGGATCATTTGAATTATTAAATTTTTTTATTTTCAATTATTTTTATTTTCTTCAATTAAAGCATTATAATTTTAATTTTAACATCTACTTTTCGATGTGAAGAAAGGTAATCAGGGGTTAAGTTTGTGAGGACGAAATGTACCCAAAGAGGTACTTTTTATATGCCAGCAACAATAAAAAATCTTAAAATTATTTTTCTTATTAAAAACTAAATGTTTGTGGGAAGGAATAGTTTGAGATATATTAAGACCTTCAGGTTTCTTTGATTCCCTATATTCCTAGGGAGTTTTTATAGGGAAGGAGAGGAGTTAGCTCCTTACCCCTGTTGGAGTAAATGTCCCCTAGAGGATCCTCTTTAATTTTCTGAATAAATAAATATTCTTAAAATATTTGTTGCTTTTAAAATATTTTTATATTTTATTATCTGCAAAATCGTTTAAAAGTATATTTCTAATTTTAGGAGTTTTTTTCGAAGTGAAGGAAGGGAGTGAGGGTTTAAGTTTGTGTGAACAAAATGTACCCAAAGAGGTCCTTTTTCTAGCTGAACAACAATAAAAAATCTTAAAATTGTTTTAATCATTAAAAAATATTTTTTGCTGATATCATATTTTGAGATATTTTAAAATCTGATATTTTCTAAGATCTCTTGATTCCAGGGTGTTTTTTAGCGAAAGAGAGGAGTTAGCTCCTTGGCCCTGGTGGAGCAAATGTTCCTTAGAGGGTCCTCTTTAATTTTTTAAATAAATAAAAATTCTTAAAATAATTTTTTTCTTCAAAACAAAATTAATTTTTTTTGGGAAGGAATATTTTGAGATCGCTTAAAACCTGTTCCCTTGATTCCCTATATTCCTAGGGAGTTTTTATAGGGAAGGATAGGTGTTAACCCCTTACCCCTCGTGAAGGAAATGTCCCTTAGAGGGTCTTTTTTAGTTTCCAAAATAAATAAAAATTCTTAAAATATTTTTTCTCTTAAAAACATTTTTAGTTTAATGCTGTCTGCAAAATCGGTTAATAACATATTTAGAATTTTGGGTTTTTTTCTATGTAAGGAAAAGGAGTGAGGGGTAAAGTTTGTGTGGACGAATTGTACTCAAAGTAGTCCTTTTTCTTATACAGCAAAAATAAAAAAACTTAAAATTATTTTTGTCATTAAAATTAACTTTTTCTGAAATAATATTTTAAATTATTTTAAAGTTATGGGGTTTCCTTTGATTTCCTATATTCCTAGGGAGTTTTTATAGGGAAGGAGAGGAGTTAACCCCTTACCCCTCGTGAAGGAAATGTCCCTTAGAGGGTCTTCTTTCATTTACCGAATATATAACCATTCTTAAAATATTTTTTCTATCAAAATATTTTTATTTTTCATTATCTGCAAAATCGTTTAAAAATATATTTCTAATTGTAAGAGTTTTTTTTCGATGTGAAGCAAAGGGGTGAGGGGTTAGGTTTTTGTGGACGAAATTTAACCGGAGAGGTCATTTTTCTTACACAAAAATAATAAAAAATCTTAAAATTATTATTGTCACTAAAAAATAATTTTTTGTTGAAATAGTAGATTGAGATATTTAAAACCTTTGGTTTCCAAATATCTCTTAAATCCAGGGTGTTTTTTTTAGCGAATGAGAGGAGTTAGCTCCTTGCCCTTGGTGGAGAAAATGTTCCTTAGAGGGTCCTCTTTAATTTTTTAAATAAATAAAAATTCTTAAAATTATTTTTTTCTTCAAAACAAAATTAATTTTTTTGGGAAGGAATATTTTGAGATCGCTTAAAACCTGTTCCCTTGATTCCCTATATTCCTAGGGAGTTTTTATAAAGAAGGAGAGGAGTCAACCCCTTACCCCTCGTAAAGGAAATGTCCCTTAGATGGTCTTTTTTAGTTTCCAGAATAAATAACAATTCTTAAAATATTTTTTCTCTTAAAAAACATTTTTAGTTTAATGCTGTCTGCAAAATCGGTTAATAACATATTTAGAATTTTGGAATTTTTTTTCTATGTAAGGAAAAGGAGTGAGGGGTAAAGTTTGTGTGGACGAATTGTACTCAAAGTGGTCCTTTTTCTTATACAGCAAAAATAAAAAAAAACTTAAAATTATTTTTGTCATTAAAATTAACTTTTTCTGAAATAATATTTTAAATTATTTTAAAGTTATGGGGTTTCCTTTGATTTCCTATATTCCTAGGGAGTTTTTATAGGGAAGAAGGGGAGTTAGTTCCTTACCCCTATTGGAGGAAATATCCCTTAGAGGGTCCTCTTTAATTTCCCAAATAAAAAAAAAATCTTAAAATATTTTTTTCTTGAAAACAGTTTTTTTATTTTTATATTGTCTGCAAAATCGTTTGAAAAAATAGTTATAATTTTAGGTTTTTTTTTTTGATGTGAAGCAAAGGGGTGAGGGGTTAAGTTTGTGTGAACAAAATGTACCCAAAGAGGTCTTTTTCTAGTCGAACAACAATAAAAAATCTTAAAATTATTTTTATCATTAAAAAATATTTTTTTGCTTAAATAATTGTTTGATATATTTAAAACCTTTGGTTTTCAAAGATCTCTTAAAAACAGGGTGTTTTTTCAACGAAAGAGAGGAGTTATCTCCTTGCCCCTGGTGTAGGAAATGTCCCTTAGAGGGTCTTCGTTAATTTCAAAAATAAATAAAAATTCTTAAAATAATTTTTTTTCTTTAAACCAAAATTAATTTTTTTGGGAAGGAATAGTTTTAGATCTCTTAAATCCTATGGTGTCTCCGTTGATCCCCTATATCCCTAGGGAGATTTTATGGGGAAGGAGAGGAGTTAGCTCCTTACCCCTGTTGGAGCAAATGTCCCCTAGAGGGTCCTCTTTAATTTCCCAAATAAATAAAAATTCTTAAAATAATTTTTTCTTTCAAAACTTTTTTATTTTTTAAAATGTCTAGAAAAATATTAAAATTTTAATTTTTTAAATTTAGGAAAAATGTTATACATTTTTTTTATATATACTTAAGGCTTATAACTAAATGTATGTACAGGATAACCTATATAACTAGAGGGTCAGTAGACTACAGAATCAAATTCTCTCTAAAAAAATATGGAATCTCTTAGAATTTTCCTACAAAGTCAAATAACGCAAGGCTTTGTCCAGAAAACGTTCCTCCGACGAGCCGTCGGCACAGGCAAAGCCTTGCCTAGACTTTTTCCTCATGTGCAGGGTGGAGAAACGCGATAGTTTTTCCGTTTCGGCATGTAGCACATTGTTGAGTTGTTGCTGTTGTTCCTGTTCGTACATCTCTAGCGTTTCGTATTCATCTAGAGGACGACAAGAGATCAGCTGTACTCGGGGTTGGGATTTTTTGTGTGATGTTTCCTTTTTCAAAACCAATCCAATGAGTTTGGATCTGGTCGAAAGGGAACGTTTTTTATTGACTAATTTCGAGCGAGGTCGTATGGGTACCGGTTGGGGTTCATACAGATCCTGGGTGGAGCCTCCAATGGGAAAGACCCCCGATTCTTCGGAATCTGTGGAAATTGTTATGGAAAGCAAGGAGCCATCTGAGTCCTTGTTGAGCTGCTGATTGTAGATGACACTGTTGCGTGGCGAGGATTGGGCACTGTTGGGAGCGGAGAAATAGGACTCATCGTATTGCGATCGCTGAGAGTCGGGTGTTGAGGGCACTTTTTTGTTTTCCAAATGCATAATGGGTTCCTCTTCAATTTCATCGGCTGAGGAACGATCCAGGCAGGATTCGGAATGAATGCGAGACAGGGTATTAAAGGTCCTGGCAGCCTTGGCCAATTGGGCGGCCTTTTTCTGTTGTTTGCGCTCTTGTTTTTCGATGGTCAGACGGCGTATGGTCTCCAGGCTTTCCACAAAGAGGTTGAGGTCATGTGGTGAAAAATATTGGGTATTGATTTTGAATTTCGAAGGCTCCGGCAGCATGGTGAACTTGGTATAGGAACTATCGGCCATGTCGATGATGATTGGGAATTTTTTCGGCTTTCAAAAATTGAGATGTTAATTTCGTCTGAGTTCGTTGGTAACTGATGGTGTTTGGCACAAGTGTTTTGGCTTATATAGAGAACGAGGAGTGCTACTCTTCAAACAGGTAGCTCTTAGTCTGTGTGACTTAATCCTTAATCACAGAGGCAACCCATACTAAGGTAGGATACTCACTACCTGTCTATCTCTCCCTGTCTGGCATCAGGGGGATTAAATATTTATGGTCTACTGGGCTCAAGGTCTTGCCAGGACTAAAACTAAATCCTTTAGTTCCTGGTAAGGACCTTTTGGCTTTATCCCTATCTCTTTCTCACTCTTTAGGAGAATAGGTGCGGGGAAAATCCTTGCCAGGCAATTGCGCGAATAAGTCCTGCCGTTTTTAGTTAGTCCTGCCATCATCGAGTATTGTTGTGCCATGATTGAAATCCTAGCAGCGAACAAATGCAAATCCCCCGGACCTGTCAAATGGCATTAGCATTCCCTTATTATTTTTATTTGTCATCCAGTTTTATGACCCAGAGCAGCAGAAAGGGAAAATCTCTCTCTTTTTGCCTAAATATTTTATGATTGCCGGTAAGTGTGAAAATTTGGAATTTCCATACATTAGCATAGCAATTTGTAGAGAAAAAGGAAAATTTTTGGAAGAAATTTTACCAGCCCCCCTGGCCGACCCACACACGGAAAAAAAACGCACATGTGTTGTCTCAACAAATTCTTGATGTCACAGAATTTTCTCAAGAAAATGGATTTTTGTAGAGCACGTGTTCGCCAAACGAAAAAAATCTCAATTAGTCACGTAGCCCAAAGCGGCCAGGTGACAATTCACGCAATTTCGTGGAAAACGGGATTTTAATGAAATTTAATTATTTTTGGAACATAAAAAATGTTCAACCAAAAATTTTGAAAATTTTGCCAAAAAGAAAAAAAATCAAATGAAAATTTATTTTTAATTAAAATAAAATAATAAAAAATGAAAAAATAATATTTTAAGATTTTTGGGTTTTCTTCGAAATTAAATAGGACACTCCAAGGAACATTTCGTCCATGGGGAGTAACGACCCAACTTCCCTCCTTCTTACCTAAAACTCCCCTTGACTTGAGATCACTTTAAAAATTACAATCTTTTTAAAATATCTCAATACATTGCCCACAAAATTGTAATTTTTAATAAGAAAAATAATTTTAAGATTTTTAATTTTTATTGGGATGGAAAGAAGACCAGTTGAAGTAAATTTCATTCACAATAACTTTACCCCTCACACCTATCCTTCACATAAAACAACTCCCAACATTTTAAAAAGAAAGAAAATAAAAAAAAAATCAAATAAAATTTATTTTTTCATAAAAAAAAAATTAATAAAAAATGAAAAAAAAATTTAAGATTTTTTGTTTCTCTTGAAAATTAAATAGGACACCCCAAGGAATATTTCGTCCATGGGGAGTGTCGCTCTGCCTTCCCACCTTCATATCTAAAACTACCCTTGACTTGAGGTCACTTTAAAAATTACAGTTCTTAAAATATCCCAAGACATTAGACATTGCCCACGAAAATTTTACTTTTTAATTAAAAAAAATAATTTTAAGATTTTTCATTTTTGTTGGTATGGAAAGAGGACCAGTTAAAATAAATTTCTGCTACAATAATCTTATCCCTCACACCTATCCTTCACATAAAAAAAAAAAAACTTCCAAATGATAGAGCCTTTGGAAACATAATAATCTGATATGATAAAGACACATGAAAAATAATTTTTCTTAAGGGAAAATGTAAATTTAAGAACTTGAATTAATATGGGAAACTAAAGAGGACAACCTAAGGAACATTTCATTCATGGGGAGTGTCGACCTACCTTGCCTCCTTCATCCTTTAAACACCCCTTGCTTGGGCAACTTAAATTTTTTTTTAAATATTACAATTTATTGGCCACGAAAAATGTAATTTTCAATAAGAAAAGTAATTTTAAGATTTTTCAATTTTGCTGTGATGGAAAGAGGGCCAGTTGAAGTAAATTTCATACACAGTAACCTTACCCCTCACTCCATGTTTTCATAGCGAAAAGTGACTCTTTAAATTGTAGAGAAATTATTTTTTTTGCTGGGTTAGAAAAAGGACCTCCATAGGTTAATTTTTTTAAGTGAAAAGTTTATTTTATGATTTTTCATTTCTCTTGAAAATTTCAGAGGACATCCCAAGGAACATTTCGTCCATGGGGAGTATCGCCCTGGCTTCCCTCCTTCATACCTAAAACTCCCCTTGACTTGAGGTCACTTGAAAAATGACAGTTTTTGTAATATCCCAAGACATTCCCCACAAAAATTAAAATTATGAGCAAGATATTTTTAAGATTTTTAATTTTTGTTGGGATGGAAAAAGGACCAGTCGAAGTAAATTTCGTCCACAATAGTCTAACACCTCACTTCTTTCCTTCACATCGAAAAAAAGCTTGCAAGTCATAGACCCTATTGATACATAATAATCTGATATGATGCTACCCAATGCAGACACAAGAAAAAATAATTTTTCTTAAGGGAAAATATAAATTTAAGAATTTGTATTAATATTTGAAACTAAAGAGGACACCGTAAGGAACATTTTGTCCATGGGGAGTATCGGCCTAGCCTCCCTTCTTCACACTTTAAACTCCTCTTGACTTGAGGTCACTTTAAAAATTACAGTTTTTAAAATATCCCAAGATATTGCCCACGAAAGTTGTAATTTTTATTAAGAAAAATAATTTTAAGATTTTTCGTTTTTGCTGGTATGGAAAGAGGGCCAGTTGAAGTAAATTTCATCCACAGTAACCTTACACCTCACTCCATTTGTTCCTAACGGAAAGTGACTCTTTAAATTGTAGAGAAAGTATTTTTACTGCTGGATTAGAAAAACGACTTCCTCTAGAATATATCTCTGAGCGAAACAATTATTTTAGGATTTTTGAAAATTTTGGAAATTAAAGACGACACCCTAAGGAACATTTCGTCCATGGGGAGTATCGACCTAGCTTCCCCCCTTCACATTTAAAACCCCCCTTGGCTTGAGGTCACTTTAAAAACAGTTTTTAAGAAATGTCTCAAGACAATGCCCACAAAGATTGTAATTTTTAATAAGAAAAATAATTTTAAGATTTTAATTTTTTGTTGGTATGGAAAGAGAACCAGTTGAAGTAAATTTCATCCACAGTAAGCTTACCCCTCACTCCATTTTTTCATAACGAAAAGTGACTCTTTAAATTGTAGAGAAATTATTTTTGTTGCTGGGTTAGAAAAACGACCTCCTTAAGAATATTTCTCTAAGCGAAACATTGTTTTTAAGGTTGTTTGTTTTTCTGGTAATTAAAGAGGATACCCTAAGGAACATTTTATCCATGGGGAGTATCGACCTACCTTCACTCCTTCATACCTAAAAATCCCCTTGACTTGAGGGCACTTTAAAATTCCAGTTTTTAAAATATTCCAAGACATTGCCCACGAAAATTTGATATATGGTGACAGCCATTGTAGATATGATATGTTTGGGTGTCAAAAATAATTTTAGGATTTTTTATTTATTTTGGAACTTAAAAAGGGCCTTGTGGAGGTCATTTCGTCCATAGGGAGTATTAATCTACCTCCCCTCAATCGATATTTAAACTCCCCTTGAATTGGGGGAACTTTAAAAGTTGTCACTTTTGAAATATTCCAGATATCCTTTTTGAAATCATGTTTAAGTGAAAAAATAATTTTAAGATTTTTTTCATTTTGAAAATTAAAAAGGACACCGTGAGGGAAATTTCGTCCATAGAGAGTAATGAGCCACATCGCTGTTTAACCTCTCTTTGAGGGAACTTTAAAAGTTTCCCGTTTTAAAATGTGCCAGTTCTATAAAATCTCTATTTTTTCTTTCGAAACAATGACGGTTTTGTATGACAAAAATAATTTTAAGATTTTTCAATTTTACTAGGCTAGAAAAAGGACCTCCTTAGGTAAATTTCGTTCATTGTAACTAAACACCTCACTTCGTTTCGTTATATCGAAAAATCACTTTTAATTATAGAAGATTAAAAAAATATAATAATTTGATATATGTCGACAGCCATTGTAGATAAAACATATTTCGGTAAAAAAAATAATTTTAAGATTTTTTATTTATGTTGATTATTAAAAAGGACCTCCTGTGGAACACTTCGTTCATAAGGAGCTTAGGCCTACCTCACCTACATCACTGTTAAAACTCAACTTGAAATAAGGGAACTTAAGAATTTGTATGTATAAAAAAAATATTTCTAGATATACTTTTGGAAAACATGTTTAGAAGAAAAAAATAATTTTACGATTTTTGTTTCATTTTGAAAATTAAAAAGGACCCAGAAAGGGACATTTCAACCAAGAGGAGCTTAGACCTACCTCCCCTTCATCGATGTTAAAACCCCCTTGAATTGATGGAAATTGGAAAATTTTCCAATTTTAAAATTTTTCAGTTTTTTTAATTCCTAGATTTTTCTTTTGAAACAATGGCAGTTTTTTATGACAAAAATAATTTTAAGATTTTTAATTTTTGCTAAGTTTGAAAAAGGACCTCCTTAGGTATATTTCATCCACAATAACCTTACTCCTATCTCCTTTCCTTTATATCGAAAAAAAAGTCCTGAATTATAGAAAAGTTCGAATTATGAAGATTAAATTAAAGAAATAAAATATGCGTCTTTTGGGTGTCTAATAATTTTAAGATTTTTTATTTATTTTGAAAATTAAAAAGGACCCCGTGTAGGATATTTCATCCATAGGGAGTAATGGCCTACCTTTTATGCATCGATGCTTAAACTTCCCTTGAATTGAGGGTACCTTAAAATTTGACAGATTGTTTTTTTAATTCCTAGATTTTTCTTTCGAATCAAGGTCCTTTTTTAAGATAAAAATAGTTTTAAGATTTTCGTTTCATTTTGAAAATTAAAAAGCGCACCATGGAGGACATTTCGTTCATAGGGAGGAATGACCTACCTCCCCTACATCGCAGTTTAAACTCCCCTTGAATTGAGCGAAATTTAACATTTCCAATTTTTCAAATTTGTATTTTTTTTAAATT